TGTGGTGCTGGGGGATTGAACTGTGGTCGCTGTGTTTTGCTAAGCTTGTTCTAAGTAGGTGCTGTAGACCACTGAGCCATCTCACCAGCCCCCCACAATGAGTTTTTTAAACAGGAAGAGAAAATTACTTGGGGTGAGCTTGAAATCAAAAATTTTTTTTAATGTATTTAGTATAGGGTCTCACTAGGCAGGTTGGACTCGTAGTGATCCTCCTGTGTTTAGCCTCCCCAGTACTGGGATACAGGCATGCATCTCCATGCCCAGACTTTCACCAGCTCATTGTGCCTCGGGGGCAGGTCAGGCACTGAACACAGGATGTGGGATTGAACCCCCATCCCCGTGCTTGCTGTTAGTCCACTGAGCTATCTCACAGGCCCTTGAAGATCTTTTGAGGCCCAGTCTGATCAGGGGTAGGTCCTGTGGAGCTGCGCTCAGAAGTTGATTTGGCTCCAGAGCCAAAGAAGATGACTGAACTATGGACACAAGTCTGAGAAGGGGAAGTTGGTAAGGTTCATGCAGTACCAACCAGCTTTAGCTGAATGGTGCTACTTCAACACTGACAATCTCAAAAGGTAATTCTGATCAAGAACAATGCTAGAAGCGGGGTATGAGTGGCCACATGTGTGATGCCAGCTCTCAGGAGGCTGAGGCTAAGGAAGGAGGACCCCAAGTTTGACCCCCGCCTAAACTATATAGGTCAAGCCTGGAATACAAACCAAAACAAATGGGTCTCAGGGTCATAATCACCTGCCTGGCAAGCACAAGGTTCTGAGTTCAATCCCCAGTACAAAAATAAAAATAAACATTAAAGGGGCCAGGGGGATGGCTCAGTGGAATAAGTACTTCCCTGGCAAGTGCAAGGGCCTGACTTCAACCTCTGGTTCCAACAACAAATAAAATAAAAAAATAAACATTAAAAAAAAACAAGAATGATGTCAGAAATATTTAAAAGCTAATGAGTAGAGCAAAGCCACCAAGCCATGCTGTGGTAGGGTGCTAAGAAAGTTGGATTACTGGGGGCCTAGAGTGAGCTAAAGACTTAGGGCGTTTGCTTTGTTTGTTTCTTTGGGTTTTTTTCTTTTTCAGTGTTTTCTTTTGATTTGTTTTGATTTCAAGACAGGGTCTTAGGGCCTGCAAGATAGCCCAGTGATCTAAAGTGCCTGCTTAGGCAAGTGCAGGGACTGTGGTTCAATCCCTGGCACCACATGCCTTGCCAGCCCCACCTCCAGGGTGGGTGAGCCAGCCTCAAACAAAAAGAAGAAGATGGAGTCTCAATGTAGTTCAGGTTGACCTTGAAATCATTGTGTAGCCCAGGCTGGCCCTCTGGCTGCTGTGGTCTTTCTGCCTCAGCCTCCCAAGTGCTGGGACCACTGGAGTCCACCCCAACACCTGCCCAGGGCAGTTGCTTTTCCCCGACTGTGCACAAAACTAAACATCAGCTCTTGTACTCACTTCCATTTTTCACAGGAGGGAATTGTGCCACTGAGCTCTACCCTGGCC